GTATGCTACACACTGCAGCTAGCTAACACGTTCATCAAGTGATTACTGAAAAGCTTTGTGGGAATTTATTGGCACCAGTGTGTTTATGGTAAGATTTCCTCATAAAATTGTATCTTGATGTGTGTTTGTTTTTCATTATCATTAGCATAGCAAGACTTGTTTAGTTTACACGTCCGTAATGCACACCTGTCTTCAGAGTCAAGAACCAATCAAATTTTGTGAAGACAAGAGCGCGATTCGCAACGCTGCGATCGCTATCGCGTCCCGTGTGTCAGGTTTCACCCTGGCTGCGATGACAGCCATTAATCGCTGTAGTTTGTAGCTGCCCGTGTGTCGAGCCCTTTATAGGTTGCGTCGCAAGCTCGCGTGTGCACGTCTACGTGTACGAGCGCTAAATTTCACATGCACTGTTTTCGCCGGTTGCTTAGCTGGAGGAGGGCAAGCGATTGTCGCCTCACCGCACAGGCTCCATAGGAAATGAATGGAGAGCGAGCGACGTCGCCTCCCGTGTGTCGAGCCCTTCATATGTCGCGTCGCAAGCTCGCGTGTGCACGTCTACGTGTACGAGCGCGAAATTTCACATGCACTATTTTCGCCGGTTGCTTAGCTGGAGGAGGGCAAGCGATTGTCGCCTCACCGCACAGGCTCCATAGGAAATGAATGGAGAGCGAGCGACGTCGCCTCCCGTGTGTCGAGCCCTTTAGGAGGAGGTGCAGTCGTTTGAGCAGGGAGTGAAGCTGGAGGTGGTGGAGGCAGAGTCGGCTGGAGATTCTGCAAGAGATGGGTTAAGTGGTCCAGATGTTGATTTATTAAATCCTGTTGGTCACCGAGATTCCTTAAAGCAGCATCGTGGGACTGGAGGAGGGAGTTCTGATCAGAGATCGCCCTGAGAGTGTCAGCTGGGTCTGTGTGGCCTGAGTGTGCTGTCATGTTTTTTGAAAGGTGCTTGGCCCACATGCAGAACACTCTCAGGAGACAGGAGAAAAGTTCAAAAGTTTATTTACAAAAAAAAAGTACTTAGATACTCCTTCTGGAGGGCTGGAGACCAGGGTTGAAGGAATCTCTGTGGCAGAGGAGATGATAATTAGTAATCAGGGAGGTGATGATGGAATTATGAGGAATCAAACAAAACTCTCGTGTTGTGAGTAGGGTAAGGTACCGAAACTCGGTTCCAGTATGGCACCGGGGTGAACATCCACGGTAGTACACATACCGAAACACATCTCTAACTTCGGTGCATAATTTCGGTGCCTCAAAGAAAGTTGTTAATTTGCACCCTCTGGTGTTCACTGTTAACAGTGACAGCCTCGGCACACAATCTCCACGGACGCTCTTGTACGCGGTTCAACTCGGCTCGGTTTCGGCCCAATGCATCTCTCAAAGCGTGCTCTACAGCTGCGCTGTCTCAGAACCTCCTCTCCAGTGGTTTCAAGTGGGTAGAAGCGAGTACAGCACACCTATAATTTTGACGTCTGCAGAATTCTGCTTGTGGATTAATTCTTGGATTGACTGACAGCAAATTTCCTCCTGGAGAGAGCTGCTTTTGTTTAGGAATATGAGCGTGTGCGCGATACGACGACATAGTGAAATAAAACTGCTTTTTTGGTGATCTTGATAAAGGCAGAACTTGTAAACGTTTCCTGGAGAGAGGTGAAGGAGATGAAGCTGAGCAGATAATCGGGAGGTTTCCAACAAACTGACCGCCCACGGTTACACAAGCACTTATCTAAACAGCACCGTGTTAATAAATAAATAAAAGTGAAGTCCGAACGCTTTTTTTTATTGTATTTTATTATCATTTAAAGGCACAGTGTGTAGGATTTTGTCAAGTCTTTTAGCCGAAATTGAGATAATCACTAATGACAATAATAAAAA